CTCGAGGCCGCAGATTCCCCACCCCTGTTCTAGCTTGTCAAGACCTTACTGGATCCCGACTTTCACCTGGAGTTTGTTATCCTTTTCAGTCTGCAAACCTGATAAACATGTCATTTATTCTTCTATCCAAGTCACTGATAAACATGTTAAACTTCCCAGGGGTAAGAGCAGAGGCCTAGCAGACTCCCCGAGTGACCTTCTCCCAAGGGGATAACTAAGCACCACTCTTTGCATCCAACTGTCCAACTAGTTCCCAATCCTGTTGTCGTTCAGTCATGTCCGACTCTCTGTGATCCCGAGGACCACAGCACACCCCCGTTATGGTCTGTGGGGTTTTCTTGGCAAAGATACTGGAGGGATTTGCTACTTCCTTCTCCAGCGGATTAAAGCAAACAGAGGTTAAGTGATTTACCCAGGGTCACACAGCTACTAAGTGTCTGAGGCTGGGTTCGAACTCAGGTCTTCCTGACTCCAGGCCCCAGCATATCCACTGAGCCACCTAGGTGCCTAGTTCCTGATCTACTTGTCTATCCTACATCTTTCCATCATATCTACAAGAATCAGTTAAGATTTAGGTAAACGATCCTGACAGTACCCTTCCTGATCTACCACCTGTCTGGTAACTGCAAAAAAAGAAAAGGTGGGGGGAGGTTTGTTTGTCACGACCTGTTCCTAATGAAGTCATGTCAACTTATCCTTTTTTTCTGAAGGTAGCTGGGTAGCACCCACCTGCCCTGGGAGGTGGGGGTCATTATATTATCCCCATGTTATAGTTGAGGAAACAGAGGTTAAGTGACATGCCCAGGGTCACACTGTTAAAAAGTAGGACGCATTTCATTTTTCAGCCCAGCTATAGAATACTGTTGCCACATACAGAAGGCCAGTGAGAGATCCCTGCCAGGAATAAGACCTGCCCAAGGTGGCACAGCTAGGTCAAGGCTGGCGCTCACACCCAGACTTTGTCTCTCAGTCTCAGATCTTCCTGATTCTAAGTCCAGCACCACCTAGCCGTCTTGAATTATAATAACGAGCATTTCTAAAGCCCTTTAAAGTCTGCAAATGGCTTTACAAATATTAACTCATTTTATCCTCACAATAATCCTATAAAGCAGATGATAGTTATCCTCCCTTTACATATGAGGAAACTGTGGCAAACAGAGGTTAAGTGACTTATCCAGGGTCATATAGTCATTAGGTGTCTAAAGCTGGATTTGAACTCTGGTCTTCCTGACTCCAAGTCCTACGCTGTAGCCACTTCAGTACCTAGCTTGGAACTTATCAGCTCTTTTAAGTCTAATTATCATTTATACATCAGACTCCCAGATCTCTCTCTTTCTCTCTACACACACACACATACACACACACACACACACACGTCCCTCAGGTTTGTAACCTCAGTGTCACCCTCCATTTCTCACTTCCATACCATCACCCCTATCCCCATATCCAATGAATTGCTCAGTCTTGTTTCTACCTCCACAATATCTCTGGACTCTGTCCCCTTCTCACTACTGGCACAGTCACCACTTTGGTTTGGACAGTATCCTCTCATCTGGAAGCAGCCTTCTGATCCGTCTCCTTGCTTCATGACTCTCCCCCTTTCAATTCATCCTTCATAGCTGCCAATGTAACAAAGTTCGGGGCTGACCATTTTACTCTCCTGCTCAAAATGCAGCAGCTCCTTATGACTAGGAGGAAATAGAACCTCTTCTGTTTGGCTTTTTACAACCTCAAACTTACCTGTCTGGCCTTACATTACTCCTCTTCACACACTCTCCTTCTTACTATTTTTCACATGTATTACTCTATTTTCCATCTATGTGCCTCTGCCTCTGGCAGTCTCTCCTTCCTGGACTGCCATCCCTCACATCTACCTCACAGAATCCTTAGTTTCCTTTAAGCATCAGCTCAGTTTCCACCTTATCCATGAAACCTTACACCCTCATCCCCCTGGCTGCTACAGTCCTCCCATAAAATCTATTTCAAATATACCTACATATTCCCATCTTACCTTCCCTGACAGAATATAAGCTCCTTGAGGGCAGGGACTGTTTTTCTCTTGGCTTTGTATCCCCAGCACCTAACACAGTGCCTAGCACTAAATAAATGTTTGCTAATTGACTGAATGATTGCAAGATGTCTGACACGATTCCAAAGGATGCAAGATGAAAAATACTCTCCAGTTCCAGAGAAAGGACTGATGAACTCTGAGGGCAAATCAAAGCAGATTTCTTTTTTGCTTTTTAAATTTTTGTTGTTTTAGATTTTGGTCTGTTTTCTTTTGCAACATGCCTTATATGGAAATATGTTTTAAAAGACTGTACATGTACAATCATTATCAAATTGCTTACATTCTCAAGGAGGGGCAGGAGTGAAAGATTCGGAACTCAAAATTTAAAAAAATTATTGTTAAAAATATTTTTTACTTGTAATTGGGAAATATTTAATGAAATAAATAAAAAATATATTAAATAAAAAAAGAATGTCTGGCAGAGGCTTATCAATCACAGACCCCATTTCTTCCAGGGTTCCCTGGGATGGGGGTCATTTGGACATGATGATTTAAGTTCAAAGACAGCTGGGTGCTCCTACACACTCTCTATTCATCTTTGGTCTCAATCCCAAATTCACCATTTTTGTTTTGTCCATTCCAGTCACTCTCCTTGAACAGAGAAAATGGGAGCAAGGTGAGGTAAACAGCTCTACTTTCTCTCTGTCATTTATTATCATTATCCTATCCACTCCTACCAACAGTCTAATCCTTTCTCTTTGACGTTATTTATTTTAAAGACAAAATAACCCTCTTTTTATTGTCTTCACTTAGTGTTCCTGACACTATTCTCTCCAATTGCCTGTCACTCTTTTGTATTCATCTTTCCCTTGTCCATCTACTCTGCACCTATCTTTTAAAAATAGAAGTCCGCTGGACAGCTCCTCATGCATCCAAATCGATCTCCTTAGACAATCTGCCCTTTCCCACATCATAATTATTGCACTTCATTAACAGCTTCCTATCTCTCACAGGCTAACTTCCCAGTAGAATTTTATGCTGCAGAACAGTCATAGCAACACTCCTTTATGATAACAAAAAACTAGAAGGGGGAAAAAAGCAGATGCCCATCAACCAGCGAAAGACTGGAGGAAAAAAAAGATGGCATATGGATATAGAGGAATATTGTAAGAAATGACGCATATGAGGGATTCAGAGAAGCGTAGGCAGGTTTGTAGGAACCAATGCAGAGAAAAACAGGCAGAACTGAGACAACAACTAGACACACTGACTACAGCAATGAAAATGAACATAGAGAAAGTCAAACTTTGAGTGAAAGAAAAACCAATTCTCTGCTCCCAGAGAACAGAGAATTAAACCTATTTCTCTACTCACAGTAGGGAGGCAGGGAACTAAAAGGTCAGAGTGTGGTATAAACTTTCAGATCCAGTCACAGATGATTTTACTTAATTGTTACTTTGTCAATCTCTGGGGAAAGTGCTTTGAGATTCCCTAACTGTCAATTCAATTCAATGAACAGTTATTAAGCGCCCACTGTATAAAAGGCACTGTGGTAGAGAGCGAGAGGGTTATAAAGTTCTTTGAGTTCATCATGACCCTCAGGAGGCTTACAGCCGAAGAAGGGAGTATAATATTCAAATAACTATAGTGCCAAATAATCCATGGTAAGTTCACAAGAAAAAAATCAAGAAATTCACCCTCACAAATAAAACCTAGTATCCAAGGCCTCCCACAGTCTGGTCCCTCAGTACTGCTTCAGTCTCAGACAAACCGTTCTTCTCACAGCCCTTGAATACCTTGCAATACCACCTTGCAATAACATCTCTTTTGCTAAGGTCTTAGTAGGATAATTATTTAGATCCTTTACTTTTATTTGTTAAACTTTTCCAATTCAATTTAAGTCAACAAACTCTGGTTAAGCATCAGCTGTGTGCAGAGTACTGAGCTAGGCACTAGAGAGATGCAACATTGAGATACAACACAGATCCTGCCCTCATGGACCCTACAGTCTAATAGAGATAAATGTCCCCAGAACAAATAACTGTAATAAATATTATTATATGTGAACATTATATGAAAATATAATACATTAATGTTTTATAATATTATGTGTAATAATATGGAAAAGAAAGATCATTACCAAGTAGGGGAGGAAGTAGAGTATTGTCCAAGAAGGCTTTCCATGGGAGGTTGTGTTTGAATTGGTTTATGAAAGCGAATGGGAGAAATTTAGCAGGCAGAAATTGAGAGCAGGGGCATCACTCCACGTTTGTCTAGTCTTCTGAACTAGACCATAAGTTCCTAAAAAGAACCCCACATATGAAGTTATGAAATCTAACTTTTAGCCCTAACTACTAACTGTGTATCTTTGAGCAAATCAGTGAAACTCTCTGGGAAGAAGGAGGAAAAGGAGGAGGAGAAGAAGGAGAAGGAGGAGAAGGATGGAAGAGGAGGATGAAGGAGGAAGAGGAAGAGGAGAAGGAAGAAAAGGAGGAGGATGAAGGAGGAAGAGGAAGAGAAGAAGGAGAAGGAAAAAAAGGAGGAGAAGGAAGATGGGGGAGGAGGAAGATGGAGGAGAAGGAGAAGGATGGAGGAGGAGGAGGATGAAAGAAGAGGAGGAGGAGAAGGAGGAGGAGGAGAAGGATGGAGAAGGAGGAAGAGAAAGAGAAGGAGAAGAAAGAAAAGGAGAAGGAGGTGGAGAAGGAGGAGGAGGATGAAAGAGGAAGAGGATAAGGAGAAGGAAGAGGAGAAGGAGGAGAAGAAGAAGGAGAAGAAGAAGAAGATGTTGTTGTTGTTGTTGTTAGAGTGGATTAGGAAGACTTCCTTCTGACTCTATGACAGTTAAGATTCTATTAAGAACATAACTCAAGAGACCTGAGGTTTTGTCCCAGCCAGCTCTGCCTGTAGCTTGCTGAGAGACCTTGGGCTTTGGCTTCCTCATCTTTGAAATGAAGACTAGGGCCCTAGTGAGCATTTTCACAGTGCTGCTATAAGAATCAAAGGCATGAACAAGTTCAAAAAAATCCCATACCGAAGAGAGGTCCTATTAACTCTGGCTGACTGGTCTGGCTGGCTGACAGTAGGAAACAGAGACAGCAGGAGTGGGGATCTCAGGCTAGGAACAGAGACAGGTGTGTCCTCAGCTCACTCCCAGGCCTTGAAACCCCTCTAGACCCATATCCTTTTTTTTTTTCTCCTTTCAATTTTTTAATTTGTATTTCTCTTTTTCAGATTATTGGTCATTTCACACTGACTCTTTGACCTCACAGAAATCTCCCTGGTCACAAATCTATATACATGAGCAAAAAAAAATCTAGGCACTGGCCATGTCTGCAAATGGGTATCTTGTTCCCCACCTCTACATTGTTGCCTCTCTGCCAAGAGACAGGAATCACACTTTCCCATCAGTCCTCTGAAGTCACAATTGATCACTGCAATTGGGCAAAGTACTGAAGTCTTTCAGAGTTGCTGTCCTTAACTTCATTGTGGCCACTGGGTATGTTGTCCTCCAAATTCTGACTCTGTTCTGTATCTGAATTCTTCATGCCAGTTGTTTCTTATGGAACAAAAATAATTCACAATATGTTTTTATCAGACATTTCCCAATTGATGGGCACCCACTTTGTTTCCAGATCTTTACTACTACAAAAAGCGCCTGCACATACATTTCTGTATATTTTGGGTTACGTTTTACATGATTGTGCATGTATAACCTGTGTCAGATTGTTTCCCATCTCAGGGAAAGGGCAGGGGAGTGAGAGATAGAATTTGGAACTCAAAACTTTAAAAAAAAGTATATATGGGGTCCTTCCCTCTGTCTTTGAACTTCTTGGGGTATATCAAATGACATACATGCAAAACATTTTGCAACTCTAGAAGCACTATGTAAATATTATCATGGCCACTGTCATCATCATCATTATATTTGACTCCACTTTCTATCAGAACTAGAAATTAATAAAGCTACCTCCTTTCCCACCCTTAGAGCTGGGGATAAGAAATAGGCAGTACCTATAAATATTTCTAGCTTTAGGCTAGACTTCAGTAAGAACTTAAAGAGTGGAAAGCCAGTAAACACAGGGCTTTTGGGTCTCTCCTTCCCTATATACCTTAAAGGTTGAGAATTCTGTCTCTCAATCCACACTAACCCCACCTTATTCCCCATCTGTCTGGCCAGAAATTTGGCTTGGCTCCTGGAACAACTCTTGTCCTCTCCCTCAAGCCAGGGTCTCACGCCACCTTGCAGACCCCATGCCAAATTCCAGTCTTTCCCTCTGCCCCCTCACCAAGGCCACCACCCAGAGGAGGTAGACAAGATTTCAATTCCCAAAATAAAAACCTTCTGATAGCAAGACACAGCCGGAAAGACTGAGGCATTTTCCTATTGTTAAAGTATTTTTAGACCCAGGCTCTGGATTTGTTTAGAGACTCACGTTCAGAAGGGGAAAAAAAGGGGAGAGAGACAGAGAGAGGGAGAGGGAGAGAGGGTGAGAGAGAAAGAGAAGTGCATACGTAAAGAACTCTAGTTAATTCCATGTCAGAGCTGAACCCCTGGCCCAGCTCCCAGCCCCACTGCTACTCCAGGGAATGTATTTTGTGGTGAGGAGTCTGGCATTCTTTCAGTTTTTACTCCAAGGGCACAAGGAACCAAGGGAAAAAGGCAGATGCAGGAATCAGCTAGAAGACCCAGGTTGGGGAAAAGAGTACATCAGAAGGCTGAAAACTCTAACAGACCCCCAAAAGCCCAGGGGACTTAGAGACCTAAGGTTGACTTGTTAAATAAAACACCGAGATTTCCCAAACGTCTTCTCCCTTGCTTTTTAGACAAAACTGTCCTTTATGTAGCCTAGGCAGAAGAGGAATAGGGGAAAGAGCTTATCTACTGGTTGAAACTCTAAGGGATTGTCCTCAGAGCTTCAGCATTTTCCAGCTCTAAATGTGGGAAGTTCGTGCAGAGGCCTAACCTGCATCCCTCCTGTTATGGTGCCAGTATACTCATTCATTCTCATTTGGTCCTCAGTGAAAAGTCACAAGTACTGCATCCCAGTAATCACTCCCTCCCCTTTGTCCCCTCCTCTCTTACTTATATGCTCATGGCTACAGCAGAGATCATGGAAAGGAATTACAAATCCTGCGCTTTCATTTCCCTGTCCCCACAACTCACCAGCCTCCTCCTAATGGTCTGCTTCTGGCTTAGAGATCCTCAGTCAACAAGGGATTGGGGGCAAGGGGCAGAGGGAGGGGAGTGCGTGCCTCCCTGATCTCTGAGAGAGGCAGGTGAGAGGCTAGAGGGAAGCAGAGTGGCTGCCTTCAGCTGGTCCTCCAGCCCATGGCAGGTGAATGGCGGTGCCTGGGATGTGAAGAGGTCTGGATCCTGGGGCTATTTCTAAGCCAGAGTGCCCTGGTCTGTTTATATAGCAGAAACCTGAGCTAGAGTTCTCCAGGGAAGGGGAGGAGGGGAGGAGTGAGGAGAGGAGCCAACCTAGGGTCTCTCTTGGTTAAGAGTTTGAATTTGGCTCAGGTCAGCAAGAGCCCAAAATACTCAGTTGACAGGGTAGCTGGGTGGCCCTTGTGTGAGCAGGAGCTTGGGCCAGGGCCCAGTCCCTAACAGACAGGTGCCCACGTCACAAGACCAGCAGCTCTGGGGACTCACGGGGCCTAGGGTTGGCAGGCTCAGCAGGGTGGCCTTGGCACTCCCTTAGTCCCTGGAGATGGGGGGAGGAAAGGAGGGAGGGAAGGGGTATTCCACACCACTACTGCTCAGCCAACAGGATAAAGACAGATCTGTAGAACTCGCCTTTTTGTCCCCAAATAGTGGACCAGCTGGAAAAGTGTGGTATACGGCCTGGGAAGAAGGTAGAGGGAGGGAAAGGTGGGAGAACTAGGGGTAAAGAGGTAACACAGTGGCAACCTCATCCTCACGTGTTCTCTTGGGCGCTGCTCTAGGCCAGGCCCCCCAGCCTGCAGCCACCTGCCCCCTCCTGATGACTGTAATCCCCCTTCCCTTGACCCTTGCCAGAACATGAAGTACATTCAAGTGGGCTGACAGAGCAGAACCTGCTGCCTGAAGCCAAGGGGACATCCTTCCCAGAGTCACCTCCCCAAACTGGGAAGCCCCACATGGTAAGGATCTTTTCCCCATCTCCCTGGAACTGAAAACAGCCTAGCCTTTTCACCCTCCCCAGAGCTTCTCACTCTATACAATGTATACCTCCTTGAATGAAGCTGGTCAGCAGTCCAGAAATATGCAGGAGGTGATAACCCAGGAGAATGGGTTGGGGAGAAGGGACCCTCCCCCAACTCTCCCCTCCCCCAGCTCTGGAACCAGAGGTGTCCTAGAGGCACAAGATAAGCCACCTTGGATGGGAAAAGAAGCTCCAGGGGGCTATCTGTGTGCACCCCAGGGAGGATGACGCCTGGCTGTGTGGCTATTCCCTAACCTCTGACTCATTATCTGAATTGATGAGACCTGGATAGGCTTGCCTGCCTGTTTTGGCCCTGACAGCTCTACTCCCTAGGCCAAACTGTATCTTACCCTGGGGGCCCTAGAGTATTATAAGCCTAGGGAAACCCAGCAACCAAGTGTCTCCTTCCCTAGAAACCCCAGCCCTGGACTGGGAGTCAAGATGACATAGGATGGATGTTTATCTGGAGGTTCCAATGATGTACACTTTTGCAAGATCATCAGTTGAGCCCAGGAAAAGACCTCAGGCCTCCTCCAGCCTACCACCCACACCCATTTTACAGATGATGAAACTGAGGCCCAGGAAAGTGACTTGCCTTGCCTAAGATCACATAGGCAGTAAAGTGGCCAAGCTGGAATTTGCACCCAGATCCTCTGACTGCAGACCCAGGACTTTTCCCACTCAACCCTATGATTTATGACTCGGGTTTGACTTTCTACCTCTGCTACTAACCAGCTGCATGGGTAAAATGGTTAAATTTACAGGGTAAATTGGGGTAAATTGATTCACCTTTCTGGGTCTCTGTTTCCTCATTTGTAAAATGAGAGACTTAGACTAAATAATGCCTGAAGTCCCTTCCACTGTTAAGATTCTATGATTTTTCCCAAGTGACTGAAGGATATTGTAGATGGGGATGGCGGGGAGGTGAAGGGTCCTGACCCTTGAACCAGCTCTGAAAGAGCTGCCTTCTCTCTTTCCTCCCTTCCAGAGACAAGGCTGTGTTCCTTATCTCCACAAGCTTAAAGCTCCTGACGCCCCCGGAGTCCTTGGCCCTTGTGACAAGTATTCCCTGCTGGCCTACTCCTCACCCCAGGCACGTGCCACCATGGGATAACAGCTGTTGCCACCCCTTCTCACTCTGCCCTACCCCAGAGCTAGGAACTCCTAATTCCCCACTCTGTCCTGACTCCTTTCCCCAGTTTACCCTGGGCCACCTCCCCACCCCCCACCCTCATTCTCCCTCTCCCACTGGGAGTCTGTCTTTTTTCCACTGAGGTTATCAGAATTTCCTGATAGGGTTTTCTTCTTCCAGTCTCCAAATCACATCCACACCATGGTGTGGCTCAGGTCTCCAATACCCACCTTTGGTATAAGAGCCAAAAGGTGCTGGTGGTTCCCTCTGCACAGCCTACTGCCCCCCCCCCCCGAACCCAGTACGAGGGCCCATAGATGCCCCTGATGCCCCTACCTGGGGATGGGTTCCACTCACAAGCAGAGGCAGTCTTGAGACTGGAGAGGGTAGAGGGGAGGAGAGAGAAAGATGGGCAGAACCACAAATGGGAACTTACCCCACAGCTCTGCAGATTAGGTTATATTCAGGACATTCTTGAAGCATTCCAGGCCTGGCAAAGAGGGACAGAGAGGCCAGGAGACTTGGGGTGGGGGCCCTGGCCTGGGGCCACCATGGCAGCCTGTGGAGAAGGACAAGAGTGAGAAGACAGACAGAGATCCAGCTGGTTGCAATCACCAGAGGCCCAGCCAGGAAACAGGCATGAGTGGGAGCTTGGCAAACAGCAGGAACAGACGTAGGAGCCCAATAGTGGGGGGACAGTGGGCGGGCGGGAGAAAGGAGGGAAGGGTTGAGGTCAGCACACAGGGGCCTCCCTGGACCGTGTGTTAGCACCCACATAGATCATGCTGCTGGAACCCCAAACTCCTTAGAGGCCCACATGGTAAACTCAACAACAACAAAATGAAACAAAGTAGACCCAAGAAGGGGTTCAGTCCTAACTCAGGCTCTTGTGACCACTTCAAGGACTCTCCCAGGGGTGCTCTGGGCTAGGAGCCAGAACCCTCCTTCTGCACAGCAGCTCAAGCGACCAGAGCTGGAGTGAGGGTGGGGAGGGGTGTTTGAGGAGGGGGTATGGATGAAAAATGGGGCAGGGATCCAGATCTTAACCTCCAGAGGTTTGGAAGAAGAGTCGTGGGAGCTGGGCTGAGGGCAACTGTGAAAGGCCTCTTTTCTCCCAAAGACCAAGCATGGTTCCAGAAATCTTTTGTCCCTCCCTGATCCATCCCCAACAGACAGAAAGCAGCTTTCCACCTCCAAGAAGCTGATTTTTGCCAAGAATGGAGGCCCAGATTAGAGAGAGGCTCCAGGTCAAAGCAGGAGAAGGAGCAGAGAAGACCTCAAAGTCCCTGACTCCCATTCCCAGCCCCTGAGAGGAGACTGATCCTTAGAAGGTAGTATCCTTCTCTCTTTATTAATCAGGCAACCGGGCCATTCCCTTCTGTCCTGAACCCTGCCAAGATGTGGCCAGGGCTGGAGATGGGGGAGGACTGGCAGGAATTAGGAGGGAGAATGCAGCAGAAAACTGCTCAATTGTTTGCTTCAACCCAATGCGTCCTAGACTATCCCCATTTTTATAACCAATCCTCCCCATTCCAAGCCAGTCCTCTTCTCTCTAGGCCTGAGCTTGTGGGTGGGGGATGGACAGCAGCCAAAAGTCTGGCTATGGCCAGTTATCTTGCCTGCTTTTCTTTCCCAGACCTGGGATCTGGGCTGGAGAAAGGGAAACAGATATTCAGATATTTCCATGACGAGGAGGGGGGAATAAATGGGGAGCTGTAGGGCAATGAGGCACATGCCAGGGTCCTAGGGCTAGAGTGAGAAGCAGCTGGGCTCTATTAGCTACCTGAGGGGTAAAGGATCCCAGCCCTCTCTTAACTGGAAAGACCCAGGGCTCCAATGACAAGAGAAACATTCCTCAGTCATTTGGGGGGGGGGCAGGGGTGAGGCAATTGGGGTTAAGTGACTTATTCAGAGTCACACAGCTAGTGAGTGTTATGTGTTTGAGTTTGGATTTGAACTCAGGTCCTCCTGACTCCAGGGCTGGTGCTCTATCCACTGCGCCACCTAGCTGCCCCAATCTACCTAGATTTTTTGAAAACTTTCTGATAAACTATTTCATACGGTTCTTGCAAAGAAGATGGAGCTCTATGGTTGGTATCAAAGTGGATGGATTCTAGAACACTTTGGACAGCCAGACTGCAGAGTTGTTTTTAGGTGCTAAATGTCAAAGTGAGAGGAGGTCTCCAGTGGAGTGCTCCAAGGATCGATGCCTCTTAACAATTTTATCAATGACTTGGATAAAAGAACAGATATTATCTTCCCCAGATTTGCAGATGACACAAAACTGAAAAGAGCTACACAGCTGATGACAAGAATCAGGATCCAAAAGGATGTTGCCAGGGGCAGCTGGGAGGCAAAGTGTATAGAGCTCTAGCCTTGAAGTCAGGAGGACATGAGTTCAGACCAGACACTTGACACTTACTAACTGTGTGAACCTGGGCAAGTCATTTAACCCCAACTGCCTTGACAAAAAAATAAAAAAAACCAAAACAAAAAACAAACAGAAAAAAAAAACTGATGTTGCCAGGCTACAGCACTGGGCTGAATTGAACAAGTGAAAGGCCCTAGAGATAAATGTAAAGTCTTTCACTTAGGTACCAAATAAGCTTCACAAGTAAAACATGAGGGAGGCAAGGATGTACAGTAGTCGTCTAAACAAAGTTCAGGGCACTCCAAGCTCAAGACGAGTCAGCAGTGTGACAGACTGTCAAAAAAGCTAAAACAATCTTGGGCTGCATTAAAAAGAGCATAGCTTCTAGGAACAGGGAGATGATGATACCATTTTACTCTGCCCGGTCAAGGATAGTGGAGGGCCTTGAGTCCGTGGCATGTAAAGATGTCATGTAAGGTCATGGCATGTAAGGATCAGGGAAAGGGACTGCCATGTTTAACCTGGAGAAGAGAAGACTAGGGTGGGGGAGGAGCGAGCTGGGGATGGGTTCATGATAGCAGTCTTGAAGTGTGTGAAGGGCAATCTTGCTTGGCTCCACAGAGTGGGGCCAATGGCAACACAGAGAAGTTACAACTTGCAAAAAGACTAATTTAGGCTCAACATCAGGGCAAACTTCTTAACAATTAGAACTGTCCAGAAGGGAAGAGACTGACTCATTAAGGACTGGGTCTTGAAGGTCTTGAAGGAGGGATTCCTTTCATACATGGGCTGGACTAGAAGGCCCCTTCCACCTGTCTTCTTCTAGATGTCATGTATCATCATCACCATCATGTTCCAGCTTCCACCTCTGACCTAGATCTCAAGCTCTCAGCCTAGGACCCTAGGCTTCCAGTTGGCCCACCAGGCTACTTTCCATCCATCTACATGCCATCAAAATGGCACTTCTTTCCATCCCAACTTTCTAACTCTCAGAGGAGCAATTAAATCCACGCTACCATTCCTCAAAAAAATGTGTCAATCAATCGCCTCTGGGACTCCCATCAACATGTCACTCCTCTGCTGAAAACTCTTTCCCAGCAAACACAATGCTATGTGTATTGTCTCCCACTATTAGGACACAAGATCCTTGATGGCAAAAACTGTAATTTCTTTTTGTATTTGCCTACTCAGTATATAGTTCTGTGTGTGTGTGTGCACTGCACACAAAAAGCGCTAAAAAGTACACTTTCATTCATTTGGATAGGCAGACTGGAGTAGCCCGCCTTGGAATCAGGAAGGCCTGTCCAGGTTCAAACCTAGCCTCTGCCCTATACTGGCTGGGCAACTCACCATCTCTCAATGCTCTAGGAAAATCTTTTAAGTCCAAAGGTGGCAGAGAAGGTTGGCAGCCTATAGCTTCACCTGGGGTGGAAGCAGAGGTGCCTTCCTCCCTCCCCCTCCTCCAGACCGTGGGAAGAGAGAATCTAGGCAGGGACCTATCCAAGTTATCGTCTGTCTCTGCTTCTGTCTCCTAACTTCACTACCATGCAGACCCCAAAATACAAGCAGGTTTCAGGGATCACCCAGGACACTCTTTCCTGTAGGTGTGAGTATGATTGTCTTCATTTTATACGTGAGGAAACTGAGGTCCAGGGAATGGAGGTTCAGAAGCCATCCTTTTTGTCACTTAACCAGGAAATGTGCCTTGGGCACTGCCAAGTTTCCCAACAGGGTATAATCTCCTTTTTCCCTTCCCCTCCAACTAGGTGGTAAAATGGATAAAGGGCTGGACTTGGAGTCAGGAGATAAAATCTCGCCTCAGATACTTACTGTGTGACCCTAGGCAAATCACTTAACTCCGATCTCAGCCTTAGTTTAACTCATCTATAAATGGGGATAATGGCACTTACTGCACAACACGACCCAACGAGATAGTATATGTAAAAAACGCTTTGCAAACCTGAAAACAATATATAAATGCTACATATTGTCAATAATAATAATAAACACAAGCAGATTTGTGTCCTAAAAAACTCCCAGACAGCTGCAATCATCTCTCCCTCCCCCGCTCCCTCCGAAGGAAAGTTCCTGCCCATTCAGCTGCAACCCACCATGTGCCCCGCCCCCCGCCCCCCCCGTCCGGTCATTAGGGCCATTCCACTGTTTGCTCCACCCCCATTTTCCAGCCCGGCTTCCCCAGTCCGTGACTTCCCCCCCTCACCTGGCCTGCTGGGGCTCCCCGAGCCTGGGCTCTGCGGGTTGCTAAGCCCTGCCCTGGAGGTATGCATTTCATTCTGCAGACACCGGCCCCCCCACCCCGGGCAAAGGGGGGAGAAGGCGGGGGGCGGAGTGAGGATGGGAGGTCCGCTCCTTCCTCCTGTTCATTCTCCTCCAGCAGGGATCGCCCCCAGCCTTGCGCCCCACAGTCGCCTTCGGCCCCCACCTTCTCCTCCATCCGCCAGCCAGCGAGCCAAAGGAGCCCCCGGCCCGGCTGTTCCCGGGCCTCGCATCCGCCCCTCCCCCCGCTCCCCAGCTCGAGCTCGGCGCGAGCGGCTGTTCCGGCAGCCGGTGCGCCTCCCACCGTAGGCAGGCGGGGGAGGAGTGACGCGCGCGCCCATTGACGTCTCCGGAATCCCGGCGGCGGCGGCGGCGGCGGTGGCGGCTGCTTGCCTGCCGCTGGAGCATCGCCCGCCTCAATGGGGCTAAAAATAGCCGCTCCCGGGCGGAATAGCCCCGTGCGCCCGCCGCCCCGCCCGCCCCACCCGGGCTACCCCCCGCCGCGCGGCACCCTAGGCTCCCCACCTCCGCGCCCATGCAGGTGGCAGACCTTGGGGCCGGGCGAGGGTAGCGGCTCCACCGTCCCGCCTCCCACCTTCGGAAGGCCTGGAAATTAAGAGCCGCACCGGGGAGTAATGCAATTAATTAACTAATTAATAATAGCGAGCAGGTTGGCAAAGTGCTTTCCAAATATTAACCCATTTTATCCTCACAACAACACTGCCACGTAGGGTGATAATACCTCCGTTTTACAGTTGTGGAAACTGAAGACGACAGTATAACTGATTTACCCAGGGTCACACAGCTAGGAAAGGTGGTAGCACGTAAAGGATTTAGGAACACCTTGATTTAAGGACACATAGTAAGGCAGCTAGTGCTGTGTCAAACACTTTATTAGCTCTCTGACCCCGGGCAAGCCACTTAATTTTTTTTTTAATTTTTAGGCAATTGGGTTAAGTGACTTGCCCAGGGTCACACAATTAGTGTCAAGTGTTTGGTCTGAGACCGAATTTGAACTCAGGTCCTCCTGACTTCAGGGCCGGTGCTCTATCCACTGCGCCACCTAGCTGCCCCCACTTCACTTCTTTCTACCTCAGTTTCCTCACATATAAAATGGAGATAATAACACCTACCTCCCAGGGTTGTTGTGAGGATGAAATGAGGTAGACCTATCTCTTCTGCGTGTGTCAAGTGTTTTGCAGACCTTAAGTGTATAAATACTAGCTCTTGTAGTTTTGCATGACCTTATGCCTCTCAGGTAATTTTTCTAAGACCAAATAATTATACATAAGTTGAGGATCTGCATTAGTGGATGAAATTTCTACACCAATGAAATCCCGAGACCAGATGGACATTCCCCACCACCCTCCATTGCATTTATCTTGATCCTGAGGTAGGGAGTCAAGTATCATTACCCCCATTTTGCAGATAAGGAGACTGAGGCTCCCTGTAGTGTTTCTCTCTGTCTCTGTCTCTGTGTCTCTGTCTCTCTCGCTCCCTCCCTCCCTCTCTCCCCTGTGTGTGTGTGTGTGTGTGTGTGTGTGTGTGTGTGTGTCTACATGTTGGCTCTCCCACTAGAATGTAAGTTCCTCTAAGTCAGGGACCATTCCCATCTTGGTTTTCAGTACCTAGCACAATGTACCATGCACACTAGTGCATGATACTCCCTTAGAAATACTCCTTGATTAATTTCTTATTCACTTTTCTACTTTCTAAACCTTTACTGATTTCTAACCTTATCTAACATCTATCCAATAGATAGACATGGATCTGCTCCCTGTGCCTGGTTGAATCTCTGGATTCAGGGATCTAATGTACCCGGTCCCTAAACACATGCCCTCCCCCTCCCCCACTCCCCTCTTTCCCCCTCCTCCCTCTTCCGCCTGCTGCCGCCCCTCCCCCCCCTTTGTGGCTAAACTACTCAAGAAGGCTGTCTACACTAGGTGCCTCCATTTCCTTTCTTTTCACTTTCTTCTTAATTCTCTATAGTCTGGCTTCTAACCCCATCGTTCCACTGAAACTGCTTTCTCCAAAGTTACTACCAGTCTCTTAATTGCCAAATTCACTGCCTTTTCTCAGTCCTCATCCTTTCTTGACCTCTCCATAGCATTTGACACCATTAACCATCCTCTTCTCCTTGCATGTCTCTTCTCTCCAGGTTTCCATGACACTCCTCACTCCTGGTTCTCCTCCTACCTATTTGACCACTCCTTCTCAGTCCTTTTTTTTGCTTCCTCTTCAGTCTGGTTCAGGACTGGTAAGCATTGGAGTCCCCAGGGCTCTGGGCTGAGTCACCTTCTCTTCTCTTCTCACTCCATCCCAGGGCTTAGCAAATTATGGCCCATGGTCCTGAGCTGCACAAAAATAGGTAGAAGGCTGGATTTGGTCCATGGTCGTAGTTTACCAGTCTAGGCTCTATACTGTTTTACTTGGTGATCTCATGAGCTCCCAGGGATTCAATTATCATCTCTAATTTAATGATTCTCGAATCAATCTTAACACTTGTTGCACCGAATAAAGCTGATGAGTTTACAGAAAAGTCACTGAAATGTTAGAGCTAGAAGACAGCTTAGATATCACTTCACCTAACCCCCTTATTTTGCAGTTGAAGAAACCAAAGACCAGATGAGTTAAATGCCTTTTGAAGGGTCACACAGTTACTAAGCAGAAGAACGAAATTCAAACCAGATATCCCAAGTTGATTCCATTTGTCCACCAGAAAAGGCCTTCCCAAACCAGGGATGGACCCATGGCTTTCACCTTTCATTTTTTTCCTAAACCTTTTCCAGACCAATGAACCTCTTGAAACTTCCTAGCTCCTAAATCCACTGGACCCCATAGATTCAGAAATCCACTTCACCAAACCTATAATTAATTACTTGCTTTTCTCTTGCCATCCCTTTGTAATTAGATGGACTTGCCTGGCATCTGCTCCCTTTCCCTTATTAGCCCCCACTTCCAAACACTCCAAAACACGAGTTCTTTTCTAGGATTTACTTGCAGAGAAAAGAGCATATGCAAAAGAAGAAATAATAGACCAGGATTAGGTAATGAGGAAGAAGGTCAAGTAAGAGACCTATCAGTTCCAGACCAGATGGTACTTTTTAGTTCTTTTAAAAGATGTTTTAGTCAAAGATTGCCATCCAAAATAAAGGCAGCACCCAAAGAGATCAAACAAATGGGAAAAGGACCCACATGTACAAAAATATTCATAGCAGCTCTTTTTGTGGTGGCAAAGAATTGGAAATTGAGAGGATGCCCATCCATTGGGGAATGGCTGAGCAAGTTGTGGTATATGAATGTAATGGAATACTATTGTGCTATAAGAAATGATGAACAGGCTGAATTCAGGAAAAACCTGGAGAGACGTATATGGTCTGATACTGAGTGAAGTGAGCAGAACCAAGAGGACTTTGTACACAATAACAGCCACGTTATGCAGTGACTGATATTGTTAAACTGAACCCTTCTCAGCATTACAAGGATCTAAGACATCTCCAGAGGCCTCAGGATGGAAAATGCTGTCCACATCCAAAGAAAGAACTATGGAAGTCGAATCGCTATCACTGATTTTTACCTTCTGTTGAGTTTTGTTTCATCTTTCTGATGGTTCCTCGTATTGGTTTTAATTTTTACTTACAACTTCACTAATGTGAAAATATGTTTAATGGGTATGTAAATGTAAAGCCAATATCAGATTGTGTGCCGTCTTGGGGAGGGGGGGGGAGGAAGGGGGAGAAAAATTTTCAACTCAAAAGCATATGAAAGTGATTGTTGATAAATCAAAATAAATTAATAAAATTTAAAAAAAGAAAAAAAAACAATAAAGGCAGCATAAAACCAAAACATGACAATAAAAATAAGATAAAAAGAACCTCAATACAACTAACTGAGATGCTTAGCAACTATTTGCATTCAAATTAACTAATTTTAATGCATAAAGTATCATAATTTTTTGTTCATTCCTATCAGTACTCTTTGACTAATCATCCTCATTCCCTTTTCTCTTCATATGCTTGTAGTTAGAGTATACGCATGCCACATCCTTCAGGGTCTCCTCTTTTTTAACTTTGTGTTATAGTGGAGTTCCCTAAACTAATTAAATCATAGGTACAGCCCCTATCTCTCCCCAACATTGGTCCCACCAAGTTCAATATCCCTGCTATTTCAAATAGATCTTTTCAGGTTTCTCAGTATACCTCCTACAGTCTTAATTGCATTATAGAATCCCATTATATTAATGAATGACACTTGAATTCTTAATTATCTTACTGAGCTAGTCAGTTCTGCAAGCCTAGCTTGGCTCATCAGGATTTTCTCTGGAATCTCAAAGGGCAGGAACCTTATTTCCTCCTTCCTCTGGATCTCCCCCACAGCACCTATGACAGGATGCTGCCTGATTCAATCAATACTTTTTTTTTAGCCTTCTCACAGAATTTAATTCTTTGTTGAAATTTCATAAGAACCAATTTGTCTTCTCTTTTGATTTTTATTTCATTACTTTTGATAAATTTTCATATTTTATTTATACATATTTTCATATCATCTTTATTTCAGAATATATCTCTTCCCTATCCCCTACCCAGAAAACTAGTATTTGTAATAACAATTTTTAAAAGAGAAAAAAAGTATTTCAGCCTACCCACCTAGCACATGAACTGAGTCTGGCAGTACATGCAATATTCTACACTCATGGTCTCCCATCTGTGCAAAGAAGGGAGGGAGGCACATTTTCTCAGCTCTTCTCAGGAAGTAAGTTTGGTTGTTATAATTACGCGATTTTCAGAGGGTTTTTTTGTTGTTGTTTTTTCCATTTGCACTGTTGTAATCACGATGCATATTCTTTTCCTGCTTCTGTTTAATTAATTCGCTTCAGTTCATCTAAACACTCCCAGATTTCTCTGAATTCTTAATATTCATTGTTTCTTATGCCACAGTAACACTCCATTACATTCATATACCATAATTTATTTAGGTTTTCCCCAATCAACATGCATCTACTCTATTTCCAATTTTTTGCTACCACAAAAAGGGCTGCTATGAATTTTGTGTGTGTGTGTGTGTGTGTGTGTGTGTGTGTGTGTTTGTATAAAACATTTTTCTTCCTGTCCTTAACAAATGCCCAGTAGTGAGAGATGGACATTTTGGCTACATTCTTATCATAATTCTAAGTTGCTTTCTAGAATGGATCAACAGTATATTGGTATGTCTGTCTTTCCAGAGCCCGCTAATATTTATTTCCTCCATCTTTTCTCATCTTTGCCAAATGTCTGGGTATGAGGTAAAAACCTCAGTGTTGTTTTAATTGGCAATTATACCAATTATTGGCATAAAATTGGTAGCTGGTATAAAAATACCAAATATTTAAAGAATAATCATCATAGCTGGAATTTATATAACACTTTAAGCTTTGCAAAACACTTTACAAATATCTTATTTTATCTTCACAACTCTGGGAAGTAGGGACTACTGTTATCTTCATTTTACAGATGAGGAAACTGAGGCAGGTAGTGATTAAGTGATTTGACCAGGATCATAGAACCAGAAAGTTGACTGAAGCAGGACTTCAGGTTCCGCAGGCCTCCTGGGTGCCTTCCAATTAAAAT